TTAACCGAGTTGCATAATTCTTCTGAATTTCAACCTAACTATAGAACTTTGTTTTAATATACTGCAATAACTCATATCTTTAAGTCGCTAATACGCATGGTCAAATTTAGCCCTAGGCTAATGTCATTTTGTCAGGATTTTTTTTGTAATGAATAATGACATGACTTTTTCATATGAATAAAAATATGTAACACACAAAACAAAGGAAATAACCCTGCAGAGTATTTCTAATTATCATAAAAATTTTAAGATAAACTTTAAGTCATTTTTACTTTTACGAGGAAGATGCATAATGCTGTGGATAGCAGTTGGATTTGCTTTTGGCTGAGACGCTTACATTCTTTGTCTTGAAAAAGGGTAAGAAAGGGAAAAGGGAAACTTGCTCCTAAATGGCAGCACCCCTCTAAAGGGCTTCCGCACTTGTGCTGCACTGAGCTCTTGGTGAGGCCGGAGCCTGCTATAATATAGACGAAAAACCTGACACCCCACACTCCTTACGGAGAGGCGGCACTGGGCCAGCTGTGACATGAAGAAAAAGAGCCCATTTCTGCCCTAGTGCTTGCACAGACTCCGTGGTGTGGTACGCACAGTAGCAGCAGCCCAAGAGCGATGGTCAGCTTAGGTAGCTAAGCTAACTACTTAGGAGTTGTCTGAACTGTGTCCCAAATCGGTTTCATGACCCAGACAACTATAAAAAGTCAATAGCTCAATTACAACCTCATTTTCTTGACTATAGCTTATACACACAATGCCAGTTAACTTTAAGCAGATGGCTATTTCGTGTCTGCATTAACCCCCTATGACTACTGAAGACCAGAGACAACGGAGACAATTTATACATATATAGGTATGCACACAAGTGTGCAGCACATAAATATGTACGTGCACACATACACATGTAGGGTGTTTCCTTTGCTTGTGCCCTGCGCCGCCCCCCCCGCAAAAAAAAGCAGGGTGGGTTTTTTCCTATTAATTAACTCTAATTAGCTATTTCATTTATAAATGCTCAGATGATTACACTTGGCTTAAAAAGCACATAGTTATTTTAGGGGAACAGACTTTCTATTTATACTTTAAACTAAGAAGCTGAACTTTAAAACCAATTGTAACTGTAACTTAATATGAATACCAGCACTGCCACTCAAAGCGAAGCCACCAAGACAAACACTACAGGCTCCACCAAGATTAACAAGTATGAGAACAATCACACTGCAGCTACATATGAGAAGTCCATACTTTTAACAGAATAATTAAGATCCCCCTGAAAAAAGTACTTCCTCAATAAACACGTAATGATAATTTTTATACTTAGATACAAAAGATACATTTTCAAACCACACATACACTGTTGGAGAATGGCTGAGGAGCCTTGTGATTCAATTTTGACATAAGTTAGCCAGACTAGGCCGCAGTGAAAAATTCCAAGTCGTGCTGACAAGGGAGAAAAAGAAGGTCATGCTGACCTTGCACTGTACAGATAAACAGCTTTTGAAGAAACACTGTATAAGAAAAACAGGATGGAACCCGGACCATGTAACAGTAACCGCAAGTAGGAGGAGTATGCTAATGCAATCTTTAGAGCTAAGCCAATAATTGTAAGACAAGTATGCATAAGGTAGAAATTAGTGTATAAATACATGTAGGGTTTTGCAATAAAGTTGAAGCTTGCCTTATCACTCACATTGAGTCGACTGCTTGCCTTCCCTCGCTCGTCGCAATACACTGAAGGGGAACATTAACTTCTCTGCACATTTTAATTTTGGAACACTTTACCCAGGGGTCTTATATATATTCAAGTGTGTGAAAGACAGAAGAAAACCCTTAAATCCCTAAGGATCATTTGACAATATGCAGAATAGAGACAAATTCTACAGGCGCTATCTATGTATAGTGAAATCTCAGAATTTTTTAGGATCCAGATGAAGATATGTGAAGCAACAGAGTAAGAAATTATGGTATTTCTCACTTCAGTATCTGAGATGAGACCTGACACGATCAAAAAAGGCTTTAAAACATCTTGAATATGGAAGGAAGGGACCATGGCTTTTTCATGAGAGACACCACTGGATTAATAAGTGCACATATTTTGAAGGATTTGGGAAGTCTGCCTTAAGGCATGGAATTTTGGTCTCTTCCATGCGCAAATGGAAAAGACACGTGTGAAACTAGGATTTATTTTGGTATTACAATTACCCTCAGCTTCTTTTACAAATTAATTTTAGTATGTTGTGGACAGTTCAAATATAAAGAATATTTAACATAAAAACCATTCTATTTCTCCAAAATGTAATTTTACCCCTTGACATTTCTGAAACTGAAAGACTATCTAAATAAAGTAAAATCTAGCTACAGTTATTTGTCTTGTATTACAGGTGCCAGTAATTATAATAGTTTTGACTATTTGGGAGAATCTTTGCCCTACACTTTACTTCCAAACAAAAAAAAAAAGGGGGGGGGGGGTGGTAATAGCAAGGCTGACGTATGTTTGCCCAGGATTTCCTTACAGTTGGTATATACAGGAAGCACGATGCTTTTGGGAGACACTACACCTACAAAGCGCACACACTGTCAAGCTGGTTAGCACAGGAGTTGTAAATCCAACCCTTACTGTGTACGTGCAGATGGATTAAACAGTACGCGTGGGAAGTCCACCTCATGTTCTGTGCAAGCACCAGTGACTGTAGTATGGTTATAAAGCCACAGTGCCCGTGTTCCTCACCCCACGTAGGACAGCCAGAGAGACATGGCAGCTCACGGGAGAAACTGCCAAGTACAACCCTGTAAGGCACCTGAACAAGTCCTCAAACTGACACAGATGCAATTTCCTGGCTAGAAAAAATAGGAGGTACTTGTGACGCTCACACGTATGGTAGCTGTAAATAATAAAATCTACTTGTCCTTTGATTTGCTTTATGTTACTTATGTAAGAGAAATTTCTGTACTTTTTACTTTACAAGCAAACTAAAACCAGAAGACCATAGGCAATCAAAAAAT